GAGCTGCTTTTAGCCAAGATACAACCAAATGCTTCTGCACCAAGCAAAGTTTAATATTTCCTTCAAATATGCCTTGCTGTATTGAGGCACCACAGTTTACTCATTCCTTTTATCTTTATCAATATTATTATTGTACCCACTGAAGTATTGTAGAAATCCACATCACTCAGATCATATTATCCAAAACTCTTTGTTATTAGAATTCACAGTATAACTGGATATAAATATAATACTGTGAATACAGTCCCATTCATCCTTATTTCTGATTAAGTTTGCTATGTCATTCTCTAGTCCCATTCAGATGAAATTATATTATTCTATGATTCGGTCTCGATAACTGCTGCATGCCATTTGGGAACAAGCGTTGAACAGGTAACAAGATCTGCTAAATGGGTTTTGCAGATAAATATAAACTAATATGCCCCCATTCCTGTTAGTTGTTTCTCAGGTAATGTATAAACACTTTAGCAATAATGAAACTTTGTCAAAATAACTGGCATTTGGAGGAAGATATTAGACACAGGCGACAGATTTTTTATAAAAATGTACTGTAAGTGACACTTGCAACAAGACATTACCATGTAGAGTGCTCCTCTTCAGGATATTCCATTCCATTTGCTCCCTCCTTTTTACTCTCCAGGCACCATAACAACAGTCAGTTAGCATTCCCACTGAATATGCTCAGCCCTACTGGTTTTTTGTTTGTTTGTTTGTTTCTACTCTTCCACACCCCTTTTCAAGTCCCCCCGCTCTTTTTTTTGCATGTTTGCAAATGTTGGGGTTCCCTGAAGCCTTTTGATATGTCCACACTTGGTTAACATGTTTGCTATTGGAATACCACAATCTCATTTACTAGCCATATCTATTCTTGGAGGAAACACTTGCTTATTTTCAGACCCCTAATTTCTTTTTTGTCTGGATCTCCTTATTTTCCACCCAGCTCCCTATATAGTCTCCTGTTCAATCACATATTATTGTTACCTCTTTCTTGTTCCTCTTCTAAGTGATTCTTTTAAAATTATCACCTTGATATTTCACATCTTGGCATCTGTCTCTCTTAAAGGTAAAGGGTAAAGGGACCCCTGACCATTAGGTCCAGTCGCAGATGACTCTGGGGTTGCGGCGCTCATCTCGCTTTACTGGCCGAGGGAGCCGGTGTACAGCTTCTGGGTCATGTGGCCACGATGACTAAGCCACTTCTGGTAAACCACAGTAGTGCACGGAAATGCCATTTACCTTCCCGCCAGAGCAGTACCTATTTATCTACTTGCACTTTGACATGCTTTTGAACTGCTAGGTTGGCAGGAGCAGGGACCAAACAACGGGAGCTCACCCCGTCACGGGGATTTGAACCACCGACCTTCTGATTGGCAAGCCCTAGGCTCTGTGGTTTATCTTGCAGGGCAGCGGCTGAAGAAGGTGCAAAAAGGGTTTTCTTGTGTGTGTGTGTTTCTTTGTGGCTGATTAGCTGCTCTCCCTGTGCAAAGGTCAGAGGGGGCAGGGTTTCTGTTGAGGCAGATGATTAGCTGTGGGAGGAGCTTATCAGAGCTTGTAGGGCAGTGGCGCACGTCTAGCGGCACACACAGTTTGATCCATCTTTTAGATTTAGGGGAGCTAGTCTCAAACGTTTGTTGGGGGAGACCTAGGGTTTTTTTGGGGGGGGGAGTTATTTGTCCTGTCTTCACGCTTTTTATGATGGAGGACCGCTGTAGCCACCCCCAACGACACGTTCTCAAGATGGAGGGGGAGGGAACAGCTGCAGTCGCCTGCGGTTCCTGCGCAATGTTTGCCATCTTGCCAAAGGTTGCAGGCAGCTTTACCTGCAGCAATTGCATGTTGATTGCCCTCTTAGAAGACAAAGTCCAGCAACTGGAGGAACGTGTAGCTACGCTCCAAAGAATTAGAGAGCTGGAGCTCTTCTTGGAAGCAACAGAGCACACCGTCTCCACCAAGGAGGAGACAGGGGACTCCCCTGAGAAGGAGGCTAGTTCAGCAACACAGGAGCCAGATATATGGAGAAACGTGACTCAAAGAAGTAGGAGGCCCAGGGTTCACTCTGATTGTTTAGAAATACACAATCGCTTTGAGGTCCTCTCCCCTAGCATGGAAGACGAAGAGCAGACTCCATTTGAGGATCTCTCCCTCATTACAGTCGATCAGGTATATGAAGACGAGCAGCAAAGTCAGTCCTCAGGGAATGTGCAGGCGACCTTGGAACGGACAGCTCACGGAAGAACCCCGACCAAACCTAAGAGGAGGCGTGTAGTGGTGATAGGGATTCCCTACTGAGGGGAACAGAAGCAGTGATCTGTGGGCCTGACAAGATGTCTCAGGAAGTGTGCTGTCTCCCCGGGGCTAAGATCCAAGATGTAACTGAACGACTGCAAGGAATCATAAAACCCACTGACAAATACCTCCTCCTCTTGGTTCATGTGGGAACCAATGACACTGCAAGCAATAGCCTCCAGAAGATCAAAAGAGACTACGAGGCTCTGGGCAGGAAACTGAAGCAATTAAATGCACAAATTGTCATCTCATCTGTCCTCCCAGTTGAACGACGTGGCCCAGGGAGAGAGGGAAAATAGTGGAAGTGAACAGCTGGCTTCGCAAATGGTGTAAACAGGAACGGTTTGGATTCTTAGATCACGGACTGCAGTTTCTTGAAGATGGACTTCTGGCAAGCGATGGGCTGCACCTCACAACGGTTGGGAGGAATGTTTTTGCCAAAAATCTCAGAAACCTCATCAGGAGGGCTTTAAACTGACTAATGTGGGGGAGGGAGACCGTGCTCCTGAAGGTAGGAGTCTATCAATTGATGAAGATGATCATCCAAATGTCATAAACCAAATGGAGCAAACAGCACACAGACCTAGCGGTGGGAGGAAAAAATCCTTAAATAAGAGTCACGGGGGAATGATTAATGGACTTCAATGTCTGTACACTAATGCGCAAAGCATGGGAAATAAACAAGATGAGCTTGAGCTCTTGGTACAGCAAACTAAATATGACATAATAGGCATCACTGAAACCTGGTGGGATAAGTCCCATGATTGGAATGTAATAATGGAGGGATACAATCTATTTCAGAGAAACAGACCAGACAAGAAAGGAGGAGGAGTGGCGTTATATGTCAGGGATGTGTATACCTGTGAAGAGATCCAAGATTTAGAACCTCAAAGCCAAAGTGAGAGCATTTGGGTCAAAATCAAGGGAGAGAAGAATAACAGCGACCTCATTGTGGGAGTTTACTATAGATCCCCAAGCCAAATGGAGGACATAGATGATGCCTTCCTGGAACAGATGGCCAAGCATGCAAAAGGAAGGGAGATAGTAGTAATGGGGGACTTCAATTACCTGGATATTTGTTGGATGTCAAACTCAGCCAAGAGCATAAGGTCAAACAGATTCCTCACTGGCCTTGCAGACAACTTCATTGTCCAGAAAGTGGGAGAAGCAACAAGAGGAACAGCCATTTTAGATCTGGTCCTAACCAATGTTGATGACCTGGTTAGTGGGATAGAAGTGGAAGGATCATTAGGCACGAGTGATCATGCTCTTCTGAAGTTTACTATACAGCGGAAAGGAGCAGCCAAGCATACTAGGACTCAATTTCTTGACTTTAAGAAAGCCGACTTCATAAAACTTAGGGAAGTGCTGGGTGAGATCCCATGGACAGTAATACTAAAAGGAAAGGGAGTTCATGATGGCTGGGAGTTTGTTAAGAGGGAGATAGTAAAAGCACAACTTCAGGCAATACCAATGAGACGGAAACATGGAAGGTGCCTAAAGAAGCCAGGGTGGCTATCTAAAGAACTTTTAACTGAGTTAAGATTAAAAAGGATGTGTACAAAAATGGAAAAGGGGGAAACCACCAAAGAGGAATTCAAACAAATAGCCAGCACATGTAGACACAAAGTCAGAAAAGCTAAAGCACAGAATGAACTCAGGCTTGCTAGAGAGGTTAAAAGCAACAAAAAGGCTTTTATGGGTATGTTCGTAGCAAAAGGAAGAACAAAGAAACAGTGGGGTCACTCAGAGGAGAAGATGGTGAAATGCAAACAGGGGACACAGAAAGGGCTGAACTCCTCAATGCCTTCTTTGCCTCAGTCTTCTCCGATAAAGAAAACAATGCCCGACCTGAAGAATTTGGAGCAAATGATTCAGCAGAGGAAACACAGCCCAGAATAACTAAGGAGATAGTACAAGAATACTTGGCTAGTTTAGATGTATTCAAGTCTCCAGGGCCAGATGAACTGCATCCAAGAGTATTAAAAGAACTGGCAGATGTGATCTCAGAACCACTGGCAGTCATCTTTGAGAATTCCTGGAGAACAGGCGAAGTCCCGGCAGACTGGAGGAGGGCAAATGTTGTCCCTATTTTCAAAAAGGGGAAAAGAGAGGACCCAAATAATTACCGCCCAGTCAGTCTGACATCAATACCAGGGAAGATTCTGGAGCAGATCATTAAGCAAACAGTCTGTGAGCACCTAGAAAGGAATGCTGTGATCACCAATAGTCAGCATGGATTTCTGAAAAATAAGTCATGTCAGACTAACCTGAACTCGTTTTTTGACAGAATTACAAGCCTGGTAGATGAAGGGAACGCAGTGGATGTAGCCTACCTTGATTTCAGCAAGGCATTTGACAAGGTGCCCCATGATATTCTTGTAAAGAAGCTGGTAAAATGCGGTCTTGACTATGCTACCACTCAGTGGATTTGTAACTGGCTGACTGACCGAACCCAAAGGGTGCTCATCAATGGTTCCTCTTCATCCTGGAGAAGAGTGACTAGTGGGGTGCCACAGGGTTCTGTCTTGGGCCCGGTCTTATTCAACATCTTTATCAACAACTTGGATGATGGACTCAAGGGCATCCTGATCAAATTTGCAGATGACATCAAACTGGGAGGGGTGGCTAACACCCCAGAGGACAGGATCACACTTCAAAACGACCTTGACAGATTAGAGAACTGGGCAAAACAAACAAGATGAATTTTAACAGGGAGAAATATAAAATATTGCACTTGGGCAAAAAAAATGAGAGGCACAAATACAAGATGGGTGACACCTGGCTTGAGAGCAGTACATGTGAAAAGGATCTAGGAGTCTTGGTTGACCACAAACTTGACATGAGCCAACAGTGTGACGCGGCAGCTAAAAAAGCCAATGCAATTCTGGGCCTCATCAATAGGAGTATAGCATCTAGATCAAGGGAAGTAATAGTGCCACTGTATTCTGCTCTGGTCAGACCTCACCTGGAGTACTGTGTCCAGTTCTGGGCACCACAGTTCAAGAAGGACACTGACAAACTGGAACGTGTCCAGAGGAGGGCAACCAAAATGGTCAAAGGCCTGGAAACGATGCCTTATGAGGAACGGCTAAGGGAGCTGGGCATGTTTAGCCTGGAGAAGAGGAGGTTAAGGGGTGATATGATAGCCATGTTCAAATATATAAAAGGATGTCACATAGAGGAGGGAGAAAGGTTGTTTTCTGCTGCTCCAGAGAAGCGGACACGGAGCAATGGATCCAAACTACAAGAAAGAAGATTCCACCTAAACATTAGGAAGAACTTCCTGACAGTAAGAGCTGTTCGACAGTGGAATTTGCTGCCAAGGAGTGTGGTGGAGTCTCCTTCTTTGGAGGTCTTTAAGCAGAGGCTTGACAACCATATGTCAGGAGTGCTCTGATGGTGTTTCCTGCTTGGCAGGGGGTTCGACTCGATGGCCCTTGTGGTCTCTTCCAACTCTATGATTCTATGATTCTATTATTCTATCCCACAGCGCCACCCTCTGTCTCTCTTACTCTCTCTAATTGGCTCTTTATACTTTGATATTTTCTGTTTTCTCAGGGAGCAGCTCGACTGTTTAACCCTTTCACTCCTTTTTCATGTAACAAACCTATCTACCTTCTGGGCTGGCTAACATCTCTAAATTAAGCAAGTCTAAATTCCTGGGATTGAATGTAGAAATTTGCTTGAGGTTAAAAACATGTATGCCAGGATATGCAAACCTTTCCTTTGATATTATTCACATGAGTGGCACCACGGGCTTTGCTATAAGGCCACTCTCAGTACCTCTTTCCATTGTGTTCTCTTGGTATTATCTCCAAGTGGAAAATGTCTCCTAAAAAATTACAAGTGCCATTGCACAGACACAAGGTAATAGACAGAAACTGTCACTGAAATACAGTTGCCTCAAGAATGCAATCAAGTCTCAATCTGGGGCAGGGGCATTTCAGAGCATGACAGTTGTGTAACAGTAGCTAGGGTTCTGCACTCATCATGCATTTAAAACACACTTACCCCCCGCAAAGAATCCTGGGAACTGTAATTTGTTAAGGGTGATAGAAACTTTATTTCCGTGAGGAGTAAACAACAGTTTCCAGAATTTGAGGGGAGGGAAAATATGGTGAAAGAAAATACTTGAATTGGTCCCCACTAGGAATATGCAGTGACCACACAATTAGCTCTGTATCTATAGTACATGGAAACAGCCCCATCTGTTTTACATTCACTCTGTTGTTGCAAATTGATTTGTAATTTGGGTCCAAATCTGTCCCCACTAAATGCAAGGGGGAAATCTAAAAATGGCTATAGTTTTTTTTCTATTTTCACATGTGGATGAAATGTGTAGGCAACAAAACTCCTCAAGAGTGTATTTCAGACAGATACATCCATGAGTTTTGGCGCAGGGAACCTTTACACATAGAAAAAAACACTTTTTTGCATCCAGTGGTTACTGTGCTGCGTGATTTTACCTTCGCTATAAAAAACAGGAAAAGTCACGTTTGTCTTGCCAACCCACTCCTTTTTTGGAATTAGCTTCCATGAAGAAATAGAACTATGGTTTTTAATCATTTGTTAGGAAAAATAATTACCGGGGAAGAAGCAGGTCCCCTTAATAGTCTAATTCTGCCATTTCACCCTGCTCTCACAGCTTGTAGGAGAATGACAACCCATGTGAATAATCTCTGCTTATTCCTCCTGTAAATCATTGTCATTGAGGTGCACAGGGGAAATAATTCACTGTGGTTAAAATCTAGACCTGTCCGTCAAAATGAAAGATCACCCCACCTCTTCTCTCCACCCCTCAATCCCAAACTCTGTGGTTTCCCCAGTCAGCTTGACTTTGTTTCTCAAAAAAGTAAAGGGGCCACCATACATTTAACTTCATGGGTGGAGGGGAATGGGGCAAGAGGTACTTGAATCCACCTTGACATAGCTTGTTAACAGTGAGAACTGACTAGAGAGTCACTTCCTTATTTGGGGTACAAATAGAGTTGATGCACACCCCTAATCCTTACATCTCTGTCTCAGAGTAAGCTCCAGCAAACCCAGTGGGACTTACTTCTGAGTAAGGAGAAGATATCTCTCTTAATCAATATAAATAGAACCCATTCTAACAGTTATCCATTTGAATTAGCTTTAAAATTATTATGAGAGTTAATTTCATTACAATGCACCATATTGCAACCTTTTCTAATGGCAACCAACATGTCTCAGATGAAAATATTTACAAGCTTTTAGCACCTCTATTATAATACCAAGGATCAGTGTCTGGGTGACGCCCATTAAAACTCTTCTCCATCTGTTCTAGATTGTATTCATTACTCCTCAACAGCCTTTCCTGCAGTTTTAAAACCCAAAATGATGTTTGCACTTTCAGTTAAAGATATGCTAGAAAAGCACAGTTGTCCTCTACAATCTGCTATACAAAATTAGCCGTAGTCAGGTGTGAATGGCAAGTTATGTACTGCATGAAGCCTCAGTATTCATGTGTGTGCCTTTACATGTATGCACACTAGACACATAGTGTATGCATGCCCATCTTCCAGCCCTGGCAAATATTTAGCTTTCGGACACCCTGCAGGTCTGAGGAACCCTGCAGATAAACCCTGAACTCTGAGGAACGACATCTCACCAATTGAATTTTATTGAGGCATCCCCAATCCCCAGTTAGGGGTAATGGCTTTCCAAGAAGTAGTAGTGAAATACAGAGAGTCATAGTTCAGCTGGAAAGTGCATGCTTTGCACGCAGATGGTCCCCAGTTCAATACCCAGGATCTCCAGATTGTTGACATCCATTTGCCTTGATAGACAATGGAATGCGCCCCCCGGGGTGAAATCAAACTGCTGGAGAATTACAGCACCTACTATGGCTGCAGAGACTGGTAACTCATAACTGCTGCCTCCTGCATTATTTTGGTGTGTTAACAGCACCAAAGTGACCTCTTCAGGGTGCAAGCCTAGGCAGGATGTATGGTGATTCTGGGCTACCCAGATGACAAGACCCCACTCTCAGCCTCCTCTCAGGAAAACAGAGCAATATATTTGGCACCAGTTTGGCTGCAGGAGTAGCTGGAAGAGGGAGGAGTGTACAAGACACTATCCAACTGTTTTAGGGACTCTACTCTGAATTTGTGTGGGATTTACTCCTTAGCCTTTTCTTTTCCCAAAGATGCTCCCCAAGGCAGCAGATAAGGATCTCTGGGTAGGGCTGGAAAAAGACTCCTTTCTGAAACCCTGGAAAACCACTGCCAGTCAGTGGAGACAGTACTGAGCTGGGTAGACCAATTGTCTGACTTGGTATGAAGCAGATTTCTATGTTCAGGTAGGAATGGACACATCAACGTATTGTTGGTCACATCATTCATAAGTCCATTCCATCCCATTTCCACATTAATCTGCAAGTTTTTAGAAAAGAAGCAACTGCAAGAAAAATTGGATTTATATACAATTTTATCTTCAAGTTCACATTTCTCTTTTTTTTTGTAAATAATTTTTATTCATTTTCCAATTTTTAAAAAAACCATTCATATTAATGACAAATCAAACCAAATCTTTCCACATTCAAAAACAAAAAACAATACAGCCAATTATATGATCCGAATTAATTAATTTTAATGGGACTTCCCATGTTCTGGATTTCAAGCGCTAAATGTCCATCCTTTATCTTTCTGCTTTCTTCTTTATTACTACACAATTTTCCAATCCTGATATTGACAATCTCCTCTCTCGATCAATCAGTTGCTGGTATAATTCTCTATATCTTATTTTATTTGACCATTCCTTATTTCTATAATCACGCAGGGAGCTTTTTCCACATTATTCTCAGTCTTCAAGAGCATTTGACTGCAAGTTCACATTTCTAAATGTATTTCATCCTAAAATATGCATCTCTCGAGGCATTTTGTTACTTTGTTTGAGCTGAGAACTGCATCACAACATTCAGATGTGTGAAATCTGAAGTATAATTATGTTCCAATCCACACATTAGCAAGGGAAGTAAGGATCAAATCAGTTTGCACTGGAATTCGCAGAAATCAAATTCTTCAAGAGTATCTAGGCAAGTCTAGGAAAGACACCTGGCTGAAACCCTGGAGAGCTACTGCCAGTCAGTAGAGACAGTAAGGAGCTACTTGGGATAAGGGAGCTTCAAATGTTCATATATGTACACCCAATTTAGGAGAGAGACAATACAGAGATTATACCTTCTGATTTAATACTCCTTGCCTCTTTGACCCAAACAGAATTGGGATTCAGGTAGGTAGCCGTGTTGGTCTGACACAGTCAAAATAAATTTTAAAAAAATTAAAAAATGTCCAGTAGCACCTTAGAGACCAACTAAGTTTCTTCTGGGTATAAGCTTTCGTGTGCATGCACACTTATTCAGAATTCCAAAAGGAATTGGGTGATGTACACAGGAGGTTGTCTCTTGCCCATCTCTGCTTCATTTTATGCCCAGCTATAAAAGGTTCAAGATTCTTTGCTTTTTCTGTATCTGCTTACCTGAGCAACTACTGGTGGTTTATACATCATAATACGATGCTGCCTTTATAATTACCTTTAATAACCTGCTTCAGTCAGCATTTGACAGTGAAGACTTTTTATTAGTGTTTTTAGTAGTTTGATGGTTTAATTGTTTATTTTTGTAATGGTATTTTTTATTTTCTGTACACTGCTTAGATATATTTTATATATTAAGCAGTACAGAAATGTTGATGTTGTTGTTTAGTCGTTTAGTTGTGTTCGACTCTTCGTGACCCCATGGACCAGAGCACGCCAGGCACTCCTGTCTTCCACTGTCTCCCACAGTTTAGTCAAACTCATATTGGTAGCTTTGAGAACACTGTCCAACCATCTCGTCCTCTGTCGTCCCCTTCTCCTTGTGCCCTCAATCTTTCCCAACATCAGGGTCTTTTCCAGGTCTTTTCAGTACAGAAATAGTCTTAAATAAATAAATATGGACTTGCCCTGGTAAGTGGGGATAGCTGGAGCATATGTCTATGCAGTATCTTGATGCTGACAACGGTGGGAACCAAATAAAAGGACTGACAATGTCACCTAATTTCCTCTACCAACCCTAAAAGAAGTGCACAGTCATGCATCAGAACAACACAGAATCCTTATCATGACTCCAAAGCTACTACGAAGCTTATATTCTTTCTTTTTTGCATTATTTAATAATAAAAAATAGCTGGAGCTTTGAAACTGCTTGCTTTCAAGTCTGGCAGAATGTACTATTCCATTCCAACCTGAACGGGAAATTGGTGTGTACTCCTATTGGCAGAAGTGCTGCATTAATGTGGAGCAATCAGCAGGTAGACTATAAAAAGCCTGCACAATATTGTGGCACGATTTCGCCGCCCACTGGTTCACAACATTACCTTAATGTTACACCATTATGTAATGGAGCTAAAGCCAAAGCACACAGCCAGGAAGCTCAAAGTCATAACATATTCTGCAATATTCTACCAGATGGTGAT